TATTATATTGTTGATTAATTTTACATTTAAATAGTTTTAATTATGTTATTTTGTATGTTTTTTGATTATCATATTAATATTGCTTAAATATTGAAATTGAAAATAAAATTGTTAAAATCCTTTAATGGTTCTTGTATAAATAAGTTGTACATTTTTTAGTAATATATTGTATAAATATAATATATTAATTACCAAATTAGTAATAATTATACATTATATATATATATATATTAATTACCAAATTAGTAATAATTATACATTATATATATATATAAATTACTTTTTTTTATTTTAAAGTAGGTACTACAGTTTATAATTTCCTTTACCAATCTTTTGTCATAAATGAAATGGAGAATTGAACAAAAGAAAACATTTTTATTTCCAAATAATCCATCATGTCATAAGTCATATATGATGATATACAATTCCCAAATGTACAACCATCATCATCATCATTATCATTAACTACATCGTTATAATCATCATCATCATCATCATCATCATTATAGTCTCATCATAACACTTTAGTCCTTAATCACTTTTATGGAAAGAAATCCTTGAGTCATGAAACAAGTTAATGGTTTACCCACGTTTAGGTATGTGAATAACTGAAATGTACACAATGCTGCAATGTATTCAGCAGATTTCTGAGAAYCAGGAACAAATAAAGTAAGGCTTAATTGGATTTAATACTTAACATACTATAYGTGTATAGTTAAGTTTATTTGAAAAATTAACAGTTTACCAATATTTATAATTAATTCTAATATTATAGTTAATTGTTTTTAATAAAATAATACATTTAAATAAATAAAGCAATTGAATCTAAATTGTTAAATATTCTTGTTACATGTTTCAAAACAACTTGAACTACAACTAACATTAACAGATCAATAATTTTGATACATACAATATTAAGATATTAACCATTAAGACTAGGAACTAAAATTAGCAAAAATAGATCAGTTTTAAAATTACATGACTAAAGTGGGTTACTAAAATCTATGATGGCATGTTATAATTTATTGTTTTACAAATTATGTTAGTATTTTAAAGCACACAATATAAATTATAGAACAATTTTAATATAATTAATAAATAGTTTGTTATGTCTTATATGTATTATAAGTAAAATTAAAATATTTAATTTCTATCAAAAAATAACAATAAATATAAAAAAAAACACGAACACATAAGTAAAAAGATCTTTATAATAATAACAGTCATGGGTTATTATTCAAGCATATTAAATATTATGACACGTTATATATATAAATGATTTAACTTGAGATTTTTTTATGGTTCTAACATTTTAATAGGTACTGAATTAGATCAAATAATTATTTTAAAAAATAATACATTTAATAAATTAGTGTTTGTCTATAATATATAAAAAAAACTTCAATTAATTACAAATTATTAGTTATTTTGTGATGTAAAAAAATGGTTTACACAATATAATTGAAATGGAAGATGCTAAATTTAATTTGAACACTGGATGGAGCGTATAAAGTGATGTAAGGATAACATAAGAGTATAGTTATCTGAACATTGACTGAATAGGATAAAGTAAAACAATTTACTTATTTTATTTCAAATGTTAGTCAATGAATTATTAAGCAATAACAATAGAAAATCTATTCAAATTGACAATTATTAATAATTATTAGTAAATTATATTTTTAAAATATATTTAAAGCTTTTTTGTATAAGATTATAGAAAAATTGACATCAGAATTTAATTTTTGTATGTGTTGACTGCTCTTATAGCACAACATAATATTAATGCCAAAACTAAACCAAAGAACTCGACTGATCCAATTGCCACAAGTAATACAAGGAATATAATCATACTCTTCCGCGATGTATACAATAATTTTTCAGTGCATCCCTGGAAATAAAAATTTGTTTTTTAAATAAATCACAAATTAGATATAGTTTGGTATCAAGAAATTGTAAATAGACAAGTATGAAGTAAGAAAAACTGTAATAAATGTCACAACTATTTAAATTAATATAATTTTATTTTGCATGATTTAAGAATGCAATGATCATTTTATATTGATTTATATCAAATTGTACAAACATTCATACTATTATAAATCCATAAAACAGTTTGTAAATTTGTATTCAAATCAATTAACCTGCAAGTTTAAGCAAAAAACATATTTACAAGTATRAAGATAGTATAATATTATGTACTATATGTATATACCTGATACCTACTATTAGGTTTTTGCATATTTCTAAATCTAAATTAAATTWATGAATTTTATACCTCAGAATAAATGAATTCAGAAATTGGTCCTGAAGCAACAGCAGTTTGAGCATCTACACATTGTTTAGGATCACCTTTACAACAAGAAGCAGGAATTTTATATGATTGTTCTGGAGAACTTATTGCAAGTTCTAAACTTTCTGTCCGTGGGTTGTTATATTTGCTCCCAGCCCAATCAGATGGGCCTGATGCACCACAACATTCAAACTATAACATAAATTTAAATTTAAAATTATAATTAACTAATTAAGATAGATATATTAAGATTAATTATGTGAAGGTTAACATATTATTTATTAAATGTATGCTCTTAACATATTATATCATACATGTTTAAGACTAAATAATCTTACTACCTAAATTTAATTCCATAATAGGCATTATTAATCTTTCATCTAATTTTTACCATTAATACATTTTTATAAGATTGATGAAGTTACAAAAACTGTGAGTGGCATATGTCAAAGRAGACGAGACAACATCTCCTACATACAATATGGACAATTAATTTAAATAAAAAAATTTTAATTCATATTACAAATTCTATTTTTTATATATACCATTATATTTTTAGAAYAGAAATGGTGGTGTCCAACATAGTAAAATAATAAATATAAGACAAGTCTTGTTTTCTTGGAATTGTATGGGATTAATCATTGCACTATGAGACAAGTTTTACAATCCATATTTATGTTTTATATCATTTTACAGTTATCTTTGTCTTCTCATAATTGTCTTTAGTAAATRTATTATTGTGATTCCTGGAACTATTTACTTCTAGTGTAATAGGTATTTAAAAAATTTCATTTATAATTATGCATGATGATATAGATAATGCGATTTTGAATAATACAATAATMAAATAATCAAATTTTTTGTATTTTTTTTTTTTTACATATATCATGTGTCGTAAAAATTCAATGAAATAACTATMAACTATCATAATTAGTAATTTTAATATAATGAAACACTTTTTATTATAACCATTTTTTATAAAGAGATATTAATGTATTTTACCTATAACATTTGATTAGGCCAAACAAATTACAGTTACATAGATCATAGATGTGTCCATTAACAAAAGTAATACTCATTAGAACTGATTTAAGATGATTAAAATTTACATTGATATTGTAATAATATATACATACACATTTCATATTTTTGGAAATAAAATAGTTCAATATATAGTATTACTAATACTAATATTAATAAACTATAAAATATTTGTAGGAGGCAATTCTAATATAAAGTGTTACACACTATTTCTGTAAAGAAATATTTTTCATTTGTAATGATTTATGTTATCATTGAATTCAAATTTAAAATATTTGTTACAATGACAAGGCACACTCAAAACCTACTATAAAGCAAAAAAAAATGTAAAACAAAAACAAAAATTTGTACAATATCAGTAAATTATTGTCAACTTGAGATTATCTTAAAAAAACCTATAAATATTATTTATTAAACAATTAATACTTACACCACTCTGTATAGCATCAAATGTTTCTGTGCGCCCTTCAATTKAACCATATTCTGATTGAACAGTCGTTTTAACAGTATATCGAACTAACTCAACTAATTTATCATTATTTGCATACATCCACACAGCAGCTGATATTTGAGCCACAAGTACAGCAAGTAATAGACAGAAATACTGTAATAAAAAATGCAACTTGTTTTAAATAAAATTCATAGATAATTAACATTTTTTTATTTTATATTACAAGAATGAGTGAACATTGAGATTCACTTATTGCAGCTGCACAACCAAGAAATCCAACGATCAGAAGTAATGTTCCAACAAATAGAATAAGATATACACCTGTGTAATAACTGGCTTCATCTTGTACCATACTCAGGGAAAATGTAGGATCTATCCACATCCATACTGCAAGTAGCATTAATAATAGGCCACAAGACTGAAATTAAGTAATTAACAAATATGAATATTATTTTTTTTTAAGTTAGCATAGATTTTCTTAATTTTTAACATTATCTCAATCAAATTTTGTACTGAAAAAAAATTGTTTTAGTAGTTGATTATTAAAGGTTTTTAATTATTTAACTAAAACTTAAAATTTGTATTTATATTTTAACCAACATATTTCAAAAAAAGATGTAGGTACTTTTGTTAAGCATGTATGCTCTCGACATCTCTCTGTWGGCCATTGACTTATATTGTCACCAAATAATCTAGATAACGATTTAATATTTAAAAATTCTAATACAATAYTATTTTACTAAACATGGAATAAGGTTATATTAGAAGCACTTCAAGAACACATACACTCAAAAACCCCTATGGCCCTATATTATGTTATATTTACACACAAAATTAACAATTTTTCATATACAATAATCACAATTCATTACTAGATTTAGATATAATCATTATCATATTCATTATTGAAAGATACCTAAATGGTTATGAATGARGTACTGTTACAAAAAATAAAGACGAAAATAATGAAATAAAAGCAACAGCTGTGATCCAAATGTGACATAATTTTTGTATTTAAAAACTAGGTTGTTGATGTTAATTCAATCAACTATTTAGTAAAATACTTAACATTTTATGAGCTTCAACATATTTAACTTAAATACCTAGTGTAGAACGTAATAAAAAAAAATTTAAAAAAAAAAACAATACAATAATATTAACAAAACTCTTTGCCCGTGTACATTATAAAATGATCTTGTCATCTGTAAGGTCTATGAAAATATCAAACTTTTCCGCAAACATGTCAATAACATTAACTAAAATCGCACGGTCGTGACTTATCGTAAAACCCGCGAATAACGAGCATTACGTCCGCCATGACGGTAAAATCTCAAGATACGACTACGATGTCGGTACTCACCAGATACAGGATATTTAGCAGGGTAACTACGTGCTTCATGAACGCATAGCAGCCGGTCAACGCCATTTCACCCGTTCAAATTTTATCGTTCTCAAATCAAAACCTAAACGACAGCRACGACGACGACGACAACAACAACAACAGAAACAAAGCTTAACTTGTTAGAGCCTCTGTTGACAGCATCGAGCAACGAGATCAAGCTTCCCTTAAATGGTCATGTGTCGTCACTCGCCAAACTGCCTATCTCGTATCTAGTATCTTATCGATCTCTATCCACTAGTAATCCCTCGTCACTGTCCAGTGTCAAGATTATAAGTTATAACCAACGTTGATAGATAATAGAGGTAGCCTCATAGACATGTAAACATTTTAGACTCCCCGCAACGCCTATCGTCACCGTGACGTCACCGTCGTACAGACGTACACATTTCGAGGCGTTACGAGGCGCACTGTGTTATTTGAACACTATAATATTATTACGAAATTATTATTAATATTTAGTTTGGATGTGTTATAGGTACAAGGGCGCCCGTCTGTCAAACCCTAGGAGGTTGACAATCATAAAATAAATTACTTGAAAACTAAGAATTATTCAAATTTTATTTTATTAAATAATGAGACAAATATACATTTTAAAGAGTTTAATTGTAATKACTGCACCCTACAGGCTACAATCCAGAGAAAATGTTTTAAATAAAYTAGGTAACAGAAGYTTTTTAATTTTTTGTTCAATGTATATACATATATACGATATACGTGTGCTCAAAAAACAATATCAACCTATGTAATACATAAGCCAGAAACAAGAAATTTATGGAAACTGTTGCAAAAAGCCAAAAACAAAATAAAATTTGAATTGTTTTCTTTATTAAAATTTGAACAAACCTTAACAAACTCTGCTTATAAATGTTGTAAAATGTTACAAAAAACAATAAAACTTGAATTGTTTTCTTTATTACAACTTGAACAAAGTTGTGACTCATTTTGATTCTACACAACGTAATTTAATACAGTGTAAGTTAGTTTATGATTTAAAAACTACATAAAATTAATAAAATATAAAAAGCAATATTCACTCAAAATCGCAAAACAAATTAAACATCATAAAACATTTATATACGGTTTGAAAAGGTTTACCTACAATTAGTTAAGTGAGTAACCTTTCAATATGAATACTTTTAAATATTCTATTTTTTGCAGTACCTACCTATAGTATCTATTATAGGAGGTACATGTACACCTAACTACATTAATACATTATATTTATTTACTTAATATTGTATTATTATATAACTAGCGTTAGAATTATTGAAACTGTATTCATATAATACCTATTTAAGGATATTTTAATATTGTTTGGTACTTATTTATTAGTTTGGTTTTTGATTAAAATCTTTAAATTACAAATTAAATTTTAGATCCTGAGCGGAGCGAGGAATGTATTGATTTTACCATGATGTGTGTTTTATTTTTTTTGTGTCTGTCATCAAGTTTTGGGGCAGAAAAAGTGCTTCGATATTTGATTTCAATATCTCGTTCGATCAGAAAGTGAATCTAGTTGGTATTTTGGGGGTTCAAAAGTAAAAAAGAATCTTAATATWTTTCTAAATAATCGGGATAAACTAACAGAAAATTAAGGGGAAAATGGGAAATTTCACGCACAATCAGCTTTCGACAAAATCACAAAAATTCATAAATTATTTTAAGCTAGAAATTCATAACAAATTTTCTTTTTAGATCTAAGATTTCAAAATTTTTAATAATCTATAAATCTATAATATATCCTAGACAAATAAACCCTCTCCGCTCAGAATCGTTTTTCATATACAATGATATTACATCATTGACTTCAAATTTAATACCTWCCATCCATTACAGAAACCCACTTGTAACCTACTGTATTGCTAAGCGACATCCATCACTTACTTACCCGCTTTTTACTTACTAATTTAAATGTTAAACATAGTAATATAATTAAAGTCAGCGAAAACAACAATGCTGGTGGTTAGGGCACTAAAAGGTAACCTCCTCTCGAAATGTTGTTTTTTTGGCATATCATGAATTTTATTTAAATATCTATTGAAACAGTGTTAACTATTATTAGGTATAATTATATTCTTAATTTCAATGATAATACAAGAATGTTACAAATATATGAAAATATATAAATWAATAAATTACATTGTGTTATTTTAATAAAAAATACATTCATAATAAGAATAATTACAAAGGTCAACATACTTTAATCGTATTTTGATTGGTAGCTAACATATTGTTATAATCATGTATATTAAATCACAGTATAATTATCAATGTCATTAATTTGATTACCTAATCACATAATTGTTTATTTTATAATTATTTAGGAGTGGGGAACTAGGGTTACCTATTAACGTGGCGTACTTTAATAATTTTTCAAGTTTGGAATTTTCATAAAAAAAATCTTTAAAAAAAATTCTTGATTATAAGTACTGTATAATAATAATCAAACAAGCAAATCATTTTATAGAATTTCAAAATGAAAATGTTGTTTACATCCTCCTCCCCTCCTAAATCATATATGATGCTTATTCAAGACGATTGTAGCAATGTAGCATTCACTTGGCATTTACTTTACCTTGTGGGGCAATATTCTATTCTTAAATACCTACAATATTCTACCAATATAATTTATCAACTGTGTATTTGTTTACAAAAAAAAAAAACAAACATAAATATTTTCATTTTAAGGCATTATATTTTATGAACAATTATTATAAATCCATACCAYATTTTTAATTAATTAAACTCTATGTAGGTATAGTTTATTATGCTTTAGTATACATGAATGTATAATTTATAATACTTATAATTAATTATTTAATATTATTATATAATACAAGATATTAAAATAATATAAGCATACAAATATTATTGACATTTTATCAACGACAATAGGAATAATATCGTGAAATAATGTATAATACCAATAATAATTTAATATACGTATAACAATTATAATAATAGGTATATAATATCATATAATACCAATTCAAGATTTTAGTTCAAAACGATTTGTKTAAGCAAGGAGTATATTATATAAAATAGGGAAGTAATCAAATTTGTCTTTTTACAGAGTAGGTAGTAAAATAAAATATATGTATTAACTATAAATACATACTAGTTACTACTATACGCCTATAATAAATAATAATAATAGATATAAATGAGAAATTAATATTATATTATGTAATCCTAGAAACTATACTCGACAAATTTCAATAAAAGTTTTATCAATAGATGCCATGAGATAGGAGGGTGTTTTAAGCTTATTTTTCAAGTCCAATACCCCTAGGCTGTTATATGAATTTCGTTTTGGAATATGAAAATCGAATATCTACTTACCTAGGTATTGTCCCAAAATGATCAATAATTTTTAGATTCTGAACGAAGTGATGAATGTATTGATTTTTTTTTTTGTGTGTCTGTGTACAGCATAACTAGTCGAAATAATACTTCAATTTCAAACTTTGGGGGTGGTTTCAGATGTAAAAGTGAATATCCTTGGTGCATTATACAGGTCAAAAGTAAACATTTTCCT